TTATTTGGAAAAAAAATGAATTTTATGCATCTCAAGTACATTAAGATATTTGTTTCGTAATTATAATTCATAATTATAAATCATATTCATATTATGTAGTGACTTGCTTCGTTTATTTTAATTGTATCAAAATATAATAACATAAATTGAATAGCCGATGAGACTGAAGTTTACTCATGAAATGCGCATGGTGAAGGTAACGATGTCGACAAAACATAGTATGTAATGTATGATTTTCTTATTACAAAAGACTAATTTTTTTTACATAGATTGTGCACCAACAAGAGCCTTCTTCCTTGTCACTGTAGCTCGTCTATACATTTAAAAGTACAAAGAACTATAAGCTATTATTGTGCAACTATTACGGACGAAATAGTTCGCTTTCGGAATGTGGAAAGGAGCAAATTCAAAAAACACGTGAATCGACTGAAATAATGAGCGTTTAACGTTAAAACAATTGCCTTGTATGATTATACTTTGTCTTCTAAAGTATTCATGTTTAGAAATATACATAATCGTTTGAAGTCGGCGAACGATATTTGAACGGAGGCTTTTTTTTTTTAATCGTTTCGCATTTGCCATGCCTACTACTGAATTCGATTGCGTGGAAAATCGTAGTCGCATATGCACGTATACCGCAAAATAAATTATCCGTACAAATTGCAGACATTTAAACTGTCACGCGATTAAATGTCGTACACTCGTTGGTACATTATATAATACACTGATTTAATACGTGCATTCAACAGACACAACCATTGTATACTATTTTTATTTATTTTTTAATTTTTTAAATGCAATTTACAATCTATACCACAATAATTAGATGTTAGAGAGATTAGTTATTCCAGTCAAAATAAACATTCCACTTCTGAAAAATTCGCATATAGCTGAAAATTGGTACACACGTTAGATACATATTACAAATGAAATGTCAAAAGTGCCTATCGATCCAACCGCTGCTAAAAATATAATTCAAGGTCAAAGGTGACAAAAATAGGTTTTTCACAAATATTTCTTAAAATTTAAGTATTATTGTAAAAATAGTGATTACATAATTTGTAGATCAAGTAATTATCTGAAAGAAGCACATTGAACTTTTTTCCTATGAATATTATATCATATATTGCGGATTCAAAATTTAATCTTTGAGGCGTTTGGTACATTTTTTTTTTGTATTTACTCTGAGCGTATAATCTATAATTTTGTTGTGAAATAAGTTTTTATAAAAGTTTTTTTAGAATTGAAGTTGTAGTTTTTAGTATTGTAAAACGTTCTCCACTTATATTTTGCTTTTTACTGTCATACCAAACTGTGTTCAACACAGTTTATCGATGAAACAGATAGTTGCCAAGTTACCTTGTTTCTCTGTTATAATAATTCTATTATCATACTTTAACTTTTTTTAATTGTTCTATCATCTGGAACTTTATTTTTACAAACACGTTTTATTTCTTTCAGTGAAAACTGACAATTGTCATTATTTTCAATATATGGGAATATTTCTTCCATTATCGAAATAATACTATAGCCTTCAGGACAATCAATTTTAACTTCTGAAGAAGGCCTCGAAAAATATCTCTTGTTATGGTACTTGGCCTCAGCAGCAACTAAATTTTATTCATACTCCATACATACAAAAACAGTTTCTTTCAAAGTCATCTGAACGATTCTTAGCAAAATTTATAATATTGTCTTTAAAAGAAAGTGTAGCAACTTGATAAATTACTCACCAATTTCACGAAATCAATTCCGTTTTAACCGTCTTGGGGGGAGGGGGGGTTACCGGGAATTGTATGTTGGGATCAGCAAAATTTCTGACAAGAGGATTGGGATGAGATAAAATGCGAGCATGAAAACTTTTGTAATATGCTTTAGCTTCTTCGTAAACTAAAGGCATTTTAATATCTGTATGTATGGTGTTGTTAGAGACATATGAAGAGGCATTTAATAATTTGCGAATTGAAATGTTTTAGAATGATTGGATTTTGTTAATATTAGATTTTTTTGCGTTTCCCCAAAGCTGAAAGGTCATATGTCCAAGTAGGTTTTAGTAGTGATTTATAAATAAGTAGTTCAGTATTGATGTGAGTATATTTATTATTGTTGATGAAGTTTTTTAGTAGTAAGCGTAGGCCTAGGTTTACATTTTTTCTTTTTGACTTAATATACTGGGCTCAGGTCAGCCTATTATCAAGGGTAAGGTCAAGGTATTTAACATTCGAAGCACTGGAAATTAGAGTGTTATAAATACAGACATCAGGGCATGGGGCGAGTCTAAGGGTGAACGTCGAATGTTTAGATTTGGATTAATTTATTTAAAATTTGCAATTGATATACTACTTTTTCAAGAGATTGAAGTGAGATTGGAGATTTTGAGTAGCAATGAAGGAAGGGATCAGAGTGTATAGATAAGATTGCTTTATCATCCGCATAGTTAGCAACTCGTGTATTATGTGTGGTTGATTGGTCTGAGGTAAAATTATTGTATAGGATAAGGGAGAGAATACTACCTTACGGGATACCAGTAGTTATATTGGCTATGGAAGAAAAATCATCACCAACACGAACTTGGAAGTGGCGATCGGAGAGATACGACTCAATAATAGCGAAATATGTAGTATCAAAAATTTTTTAATTTACAGAGGAGGCCGTCACGCTATACCCTATCTAAGGCCTGAGTATTGTTCAGAAATACGTTTGTACAATAGTTTTTTTTCTAGTGAGTAAGATATGATGTCAACAACTCTGTGAATCTGTTGAACAGTAAAGTGAGAAGTGCGAAATCCAAGTTGAGAATCAGGAAAAATAGATTTTTCAGTAATACATCGTAGGATATGTTTTAGTAAAAGTTTTTCTAGGATTTTAGCAAAAAAAGGGAGTAAATTTATAGGTCGAAAAGACCTTATTGAGTCAGGTGGCTTATTAGGTTTGGGCACTAGGATGATAATAGAAAATGTCCATAGTATGGGAAAGTATGATAGTCTTATAATGGAATTAATAATACGAGAAAGATGAATAAAGACTTTTTAGGTAAATACCTAGCTACTTCAATAGTTATCAGGTTAAATCTGGGAGATTTATTGAAAAAGAATTTATTTATGGCAAATTTGATATCATTTGGTGTGAAATGTTTGACAGGATTAGATGGCAAATGAGGTAGGGAGTTATAATAACTTTCCACAACATTAGTGTTGGTTTGTGAGTAAATATCAGGGTGAGGTTGAATATACCAGATAGATGTATTTTAAAAAGTTCAGCTTTATCAGAGTTAGAGATGACATAACTTCCGTCCGAATTTTTACTTGGTAGATCAGAAGTTTTAAATTTACAAATATTTTTAGTCGCTCTCCAAAGAACATCTTTTGGTGAAAATTTGTTAAGAAAATAAGTGAAGGTCTCAGATTTATGTTTTGCCAGCATTTTTTTAAGGTTCTTAGTTAATTTATTGTATTTGTGCTTATGAGAAGGAAGACGAATTCGTTGAATGTTAGCTCTAGCTTTACGTTTTTCTACTATTATACAACGAATGTATTCTGGAAGAATATGGTTATGAAATAGGGGTTAAGATTTTAAAGTAGAAGACCACGCCGCAGATTGAACAAGTTTTGTAAAATTATTTACTGATGTTATCAATTGATTTTAGTTTTATATTTAAATTTATTTGTTGGTTAATAAGATCGTGGAATTTGTTTTTATTGGTAGAGGGTTTAAATAATTTAGAAGATTTAAGACGTGTCAGAGAATTATCACTTAGAATTACCAAGATTGAAGAGTGGTTAGAATTTAATTCAAGGAGATTTTCGGTGTTGCTAGTTTAAGTTGCTAGGTATCGCGGCAACAAATATATCTTAGTTTTAACTAAGGTTTTAATGTGCTGAAGACGGCCAATAGGTAGGGTTAGGAGGAGCAAGAACTTAGTATATTTTAGTTGATACGAAATTTTGGAAAATTATCCTACGTGGATTATTAATACGACATCCCCAGGTCAGGTATTTTGCATTATAGTCACTTCCAACTATAAAATTGTTGTTAATTTTGTTAATGTAGTCTGTAAGAATATGATTAGTAATCTTGTGTTTAGGAGGATAGTAGACAGCCATTATGGTAATAGGGACTTCAGGTTGGCTGTTTGAATTTTTAACTGATGTGAGGACTTACAGAAAAAAATTTTTTCACCAATAAGGTCTATAAGTTTTGTTCACACTTCTGTATAATCAATCACACCTTTTACAAAAATAGGAGGGGGAGAATTTGTTTATCATTATGACTATTATTGTGAACGAACACATCATTCATTGAGCTTTCTTCGAAGAGTTCATCTAGACTAAGGAGTTCAAATTAATTTAAAGTTTCAAATAACTTTTTGTTTTTATTTTTAGTTTAGGTTGACGAAGCCAATGAACCATGGGTTGACGGGGATGAAGAACTTGATAAGTGTCGTTTACTTTTTTGCACGGTAAAACTATCGTTTGAGTCATGTCAATGTAAATGCTAGATTTTTATTTTTATTTATATTATTTGAAATATTGAACTTGGGTGGTTTATTTTGAAAATTATTCGTTAAAGACATGTTAATAAAGTCGAAACGAATCTAGTTATGGAGACCGCTTGTGGTGGTCCGTGGATAATATGTTAAGTATGTAGACACGTAACGTTAATAATATAATTAAATTTAATTAATTCGTTAATTATTCAACATACGAATAATAAGATATGATAGACATAAAGAAAAACAATAATTACGAGAAAGGAAAGGGACACGATAACGCACAATTACGATAACACGAAGCACATACGTGTGTTCGCAACGACAGTAGGCTCGTGACTGTATACTAAAAAACAATTATTAACGTTAAATTATTATAATTACTATTACGCGCGTTAATTTCATTGCAACGGACGATGAATGCATTAAGGTTCGCGTTTCGGACGATTATAGATGTTCGGGGGGGGAAAAAAATTTCACTAGTCCTCGGTAACGGCAGAATAAACGACTTCATTACACGGACGACTTTGGGTGGTGGTCGCTGCAGCGCCGACGAGCGCCGATGTTGATCCAGTCGTTTACCATTACGTAAAAAAATTCGTAAATCATACGGTTTATTTCATTCTCTCCGATCTCGAGTGTTGGACGTGCCCGTGTTACCGCGTAAAAATGTCGTAATTACGTATAACATTATAACGTTTATATACGTTTCGATTAGTTTTTTTTTTTTCTAGTCCGATTTATACTTCCGTTCATTGTTTTCTATTTTCATACTTACCCGTGCGATAGTTGCATATTGCTGTCTGGAACTGTATCGTCGCGCAAAACAAAATATCGTCGTTCATAAGACTAACGCGATGGCGTTGAAAAAAAATCCAGGCACGTATTTTTAGTACAATACATACACGTTTTGTACGAGTATTATTTTTAACATTTACCAATCGAACAAATTTCTCATCCAACGGTCGAGTTTTACGGGTTCCGACGTAATGTGTCGAGCTAAGCATACAAACGCTTGTACACTGCAAATTTTAACGTATTTAAATATACCTATATTTCTATGTAAACTAAATGGTATAGAAAATTGTCCACGTGAAAATGTTTATTAACGTATATATTCTACTGTATACTTGACTACGCGAGACCAATACAATCGGTGTCGACGGTGTGTTTTGCATTTTGAAAAACGCTCAGAATGGTTTACTCGAACTCGAACGAATGTTTTTGAATACATTATTTGAATTAGATATCTTATTTTTAAATATGTATTCGTGAATGTAGCTCAAAAGATTAAGAAAAATAAAGAATATTCAATAACATAAAACTAACTTTTTTAAGTTGATGCTCACATTAAAAAATATAGCACATAAAACCGAAGTTTTTAATTGAACAAAAACAGAACGGAATTATTGTGATTTCATTAAATTTCAAAACTGTTCGTATAAAATATACTGTACGCTTATTATTGTTCATAATATTTTTATATTTTTTATGCCCTCCACTAATATTTATTTTTTAAAAAATAATTTCTACATATAATTACTGCGTTTTCATTATTGCCCCTATGAAATAACCTTTTATCTGATCAATTAATTTCACATTTGGGTCACGTTTGGTTTTAAGAAACTTCGAATTCGTTATAACGCATGGTTAGACATGTACTTGTATTTATAAATATATATATATTTATAAATTTTACACAACTGATTTACGTACAACATAATTACATAAATAATAAACAAAATAGTTACATGTAATACTATATTAAAAATGTAATAAAAATATTACGTCCAGTATGTATTTAAGAAAAGGACTGATCAAATTTGGTTTAAGTTGTCCTCATCTCAACCCACAACGTAAGCCATACTTGTACTAGTCTGCTCGCCTAGAGAATTTTATTAAGGTCATTCAATTTAATTTTCATAAAAAGTCTTCAACAAGGCCTTGTATAAGTTATTTTATATTTTTGCGCAGGATCCTGTAAAAACTACATATTACTGATCCTAGGGACTTCATTGGCCGTCCGTCATATTAGAATTATAGTTGAAGACAAAATGTTATTTTTTCGGTTCGTCATAATTTCCATAACCTTTAAATGTGTACAACTGTTAGATGTATAGAAATAATTAATTTAGATTTTAGAAATTTTTCGTTTCGAACTTAAAATGTCGACGAATTTGATACATCCGAGGGAAAAATGTTTGCACGCCGTCTCTCGCCATCCTCTACTAATTCCATTTGTTTAAAGTTTTTATTTTGTTTTCTCTCTCTCTCTCTCTCTCTCCTCTTAGCACGTGACTTCATGTCCAGTGTTTGAAAATGTTTACAGACGAAAAGAGTTTCATCCAACAAAGATATGTACTCAGCTTTATGGGTTTCATGGCGCTGGCTATTGGCTACATACAACGGTTTTGCCTGAGCTTAGCGATCACCGAAATGGCCGAGCATGCCCAACACACCACGACTGAACAGACATTCAGCGAGGGCACAGTATGCAAATCCGATTATTCATTTCACAGCAATCACACTATGCACAAGGTAACCGATATTAATAATCAAACGTAAAATACACTTTGACCAAAAATAAGTTATTTATTTAATTTACGATAAATTTCGATATATATATATTAGGAATTTTGTTTTTAATATGTAAGTCATTTCTAGCTAGTTACTACTGATGTATACATACAATGGAATTTATATTCGAATCATATTATTCATGTATTCACTTAAACTATACAATCGTATATTCCATCGAATTTCAACGCCGTTGTGAGTTATCCATTTCGATTTCAAACGGTTCTAAATAACTCAATTTAAATAATTTTTTATCCATCACAATTTATATTATTTCAAAAACCACTTTCCAAAACACGTTACCCAACACTCATAAATGCAGGTCCGTGTGCAAGGAGGTTTTGAAAGTTCTAACCCCACTTATTGAGGATATTTTTACATACATTTTTACTAAGAATACACCTAGTCATCATTTTATACAAATTAATTAAACTGACTTGAAAATTCATACATAGATGTTTATTTTTGTATTAATAGTGCCAATTTTCTCGATTTGACATATTTTTTTATTTAATTTCCGGGCGTTTTCCACTTACTGTATATTATTATTGTAAATGAAGCCATGGATAGAACGTATTGTCACTGAAAAGTCAGCTGTTCAAACTGTTTAGACATTTGTTGACATTTATTGATCTTCGATCTTGATATTTTTGATCATAGATATTCTAATGTGTATTTTTTTTATTGAATTTTTACCTAACATAACATACATATATATATATATATATATATATTTGAACCTCTACCTTGGACGATTCCTGCGCACAGGTCTGCATAAATATATCGAATTTTATCAACACCAAATGATAAAACACGATGACCACGCGGTATAGTTAGTTACATTGCTTATTATATTATATATTAATAATCTCATCAATATTGACTTATGTTTCTACACTTATTATGTATCGTCATTTGAATGCCATGCCAATTTGATACGATAAACGATAGTTGAGATCGACTTGAATTAAATATTTTACCTTTTTTTTTTGAAGAAATTAATTTTATAATTCTATGAATGACCAAAAACGTGGTCATAAAAATGAATTACTTGAATACAGAAATAACAAATCAAATAAACTCACATTTTGAATATGAAATAACAGGCAATTTGAGATAAATAAACATTATTCAATTTAAAATGTAACTTTAGGTATTACTAATGAATTAATGTGTTCAAAGTCAAACAAAACAGATTCGTAATAAATTATTAATTAATATTGTATGTACAGTACTTACTGGAAATATATAATTTATATGAATTACATCATAATCACTATTCACGAAAAATAAAAATGTAATTTTATTATACACTGTATAATTTGTAACAGGTTTTTCAAATAAAATTTTTGGTTTTTTTTTTTTATTGCATATGATTTTTATTAAGATTACATTGTAATAGTACTAATTCAATATTTAATAGGTGTACTTTAAACCAGAGACAAATACTTATTTGCAATCAATGTCCTAATATTACTTATTTTACCATTCCCTATACCAGAGTTGGTCAACTTTTAAAGACTTGTGATCGACATCTGTAAATGTTAATAATTTTAATTTTACAATTTTACATAACACATATTTTAGTATATGTTTTCATAAATTTATACGGACGCGATTAATTCCGTTATTTAATACGGAATATCCATTAGATTATGTATCTATAGAGCTACTCGATCTCAGTGCATATTTTGTTTTTCATAATTATTTATTATTTTTTATTATTATTATATTTCCATAATTAATTATAACCAATCTAATTTTTATATTCGTGGATTGACCAAAAATATCAAAATATACAAAAAAAAAAAAAAATAAAAAATAAAAATAATAAATAAATATTTAAATTTTTTTCTAAAAAAAAAAAATGAAAAAAAAAGTGAAAGGGAGTGACGATCGGCTTGAACCCATGTGTCCCGATCGATCTGTTAATCACCCTTTCCCTATACTGTTATAGTTCATTAATATACCTTCGAGTATATCAGCTAAAATATGATGGTGAGAGGTATTCTAAAATATAGACTATGTAAATTTATTGATTGTGTAGAACAATGATTGAATACATTTTACAAAATGAACCCACTTGGTCAATACTGTTTATAAGAGTTTATTGACGTTTAATGGTAGTTATTCAATAATTTGTTCAATATATATATAATGATTACATTTTAAATTTAATTACAGTAATAATAATTAATGTATAAATATAACTGTACTTATAGTGATGGCATAGAATTAAATTTATTATAATGCTTGTACATAATTGAACCGAAATGAATGCCTCACTATTTTAAAGAGTTTCGAGATAATTTGATAAAACAAAATACGTTTGCCGTCCGAGTTCAAGCGATTAAGTTAGCCGGGTACATAATTTCGTCGATTTTGCCGAGATATTCAAAAATATAGGAACAATAATTCGTCCGGCCCAATCGATATTCTATTAGATCCATAGGTACCAATGTTGCGTAACGTCATATGTGTTTTCTTGTATTATAAATCGAATTTTTAGCATTATAACAAAAATAATATTTGTTTTTGTAGGTATTTAATATTCTCTGGTTAGAACACTTTTGTAAAATTATTTTTCCCTTGTACGAAAAAGATATTTTTTCAATTTGTCAATCAACTTTTTATTAGACGCTTGTCATCGGCCACTGGTCGAAATATTTGAGTTATTGATTAAATGTTAACGTTTAAATTGTAATTAATGTAATGTAAGTCATAGAGCACGTCAGGTTTACGTTAAACAATAGAACACAGTTATCATTGTCTGAAACTAATAATATGAGTTTTAATAAAAATTGTAATGTTTTTTTTCTTCCGTTTTAAAATTGAATAACCATCACGATTTATAAAAAATGTTTTTGACGGATTTTTAAGTCAATCTTTACAAACGTGTATATCAATACGAATCAAAATCTTGACATGAAAATAAATAATTGTCCGGATAGTTTTTTGTATTTAGCATGTAAGATTTGTCTTACCTCCTAGAAACGAGTTGAGTTAGAGGTGCGGGTTGCATAAGAGAAAAATAATAACGAGCTCTATTAATGAATAAGTACTTGAAAAAGAATTGAGAAAGCATCGTCAAACGTGATAAACAATGATGTACGGGTATGCACCGAAGAATACCGGTGAATTCTTTAACATACTTAAAACCAGGAAAACGATGATGATGATATCTGACAACATTGTGGCCCCTCGGAGATCAATCGAAATGTTTGTAAATACGTTTAAAGATTCACGTACAACATAGCGGTAAACGTTGATGAGAAAAACGAAACGATATGAACGGGAGTTTTTAAGTTTATTTTTCGGGTTCTTCCATCCAAAAAAGATTTATACGTTGATGCAAATATTTATTTATAATGACGATTTTGTTATAAAAACTGAACGATCCAAATTGAAAACGATTAAAAATATAAAATTGTAAACCTCTTTTTTCCTGCACGGCGGTAAATAAATAACTTTTGAATAAGATTATTTTTTTAAACCCGGTTTAGATAGTTTACTTCTTTTTGGTCGACCAATTTTACTCGGTAATGGGTCAACATTTCGCGGTGTATAAACGCGCATTATCCTATCATTTATAGAGTTCGTTCTCAACTGGTAATATCGGCATCGAACATTTTCGATCGATTCTGCGATTAACTCGGCAACGTTTTTTTTACAAACCCGTTTGCTCGAACAAACAGCACTGTCGAACAGATCCCGTTTGAAAAATAGTGTTTTTTTTATTTTTTCCTCCTCCGAAGCGTTTACCGTCGCACACGATACGGTTTATAACACGAGAATGTTGAAATTTGTTTACGAGCGCATTCCGCGTATTTCGCGAATACGTGTTCGCTCGTTCGGTTCGCACATGTGCGCAGTACAAATCGACGCAATCGCATTCAACGCAATCGCCGTCGTGAAGACCATAGTAGTGCACGCGGCAGGGGCCTACTCAAAAGTTGAGGGATTCAATTCCAGACCCCCCCCCCCATTGAAATTTCTACATACCCAATGGTTTGATAGTAAATAGTGTAATAATAGTATATAGCAAGGATGGGCAACTCAAAGGTGCTAGAGGGGTCAATTTTTAGAAAATTAAAATCGAGTGCAGGCCAAAGCGTGGAAAACACAAAAAAAAAAAGGTCATTTAAAATATGAATTTTAATTAGCATTTATATACAAAAAATAATAAATTTAACACACATGACAGCACGACACGAATGATACGAAGAAACTAATATAGTTAAATATTACGGTACAAACTAACAGCTATGGTTGAAAGCTATGCGTGTACATAAATATGATATTTAGACATTTAACCATGTTTAACACCAGATTACAATTATTATATCGAAGATAAGGTATAAAGTATAGATGATAAACTTTAAGATTGTAGGATATAATCTGAAAATACAGCTCGGGCCAGATAAAAAAGGCTTGCGGGCCGCCAGGTGCCCACCCCTGGTATATAGTGTATTTTAATTGCTCGTTATTATATAATACACCTAAAACGTATAAACCATACTAAAGTTATTAACAGTAATTCGCTGGTATTGAATCGAACTATAATTATAATCAGAGAACAGATAAAATAAAAAATTGGACCCCTCCCCCCCCATAAAAAATTCCTGCGTACACCTCCGGCAAGCTGTACCACAGCCGAGAGCGTGGTCGGCGATTGCGCTTGCGGTCGGCGTGTGGTAACGAGAACGTCGTCCGAGCGGTGTTACAACAATTAGCGACCGTCTACGAAAATGGTAACGGATAGGACACACGTAAGTTGTCCTGCTCGTTGTCCGGTCGCAGGACGACAACACCGGTCGCCGGCGTTACACGGGAAATCGGTACAAGGGAAACGCGCAACAATTATAAAACGGGTCCGTACGTGTACGGCGGCGATTGTATTACCGTATTGGAAAACACGGTCGACACGGTTTATTTAGTCTGACACTCGCACGGGTCGTGCC